ACAGAGGGAGGGGGGAGAGGGTAATCAATGGAGAGTGTTGTTTTGACCATATTGTGTTTGCAATAACTCTTAGATATCCACATGAGCGCCTTGTTCATATGAAGGTTGAGTTGAAGGTCAGTTTGGAGGTTCACCTGCTTTGCTTTTTCTGAGTGAGCGTCACTAATTATTTCTGTACATCTAGAATCCTTAAACCAGTGAAGCAGCTGAAGGCAGCCAGGAATTGGCAGGCTCCCATCACCCTTCTGGGAATTATGGGCAATTGGATAAACTACTTAATATAGGGCTGGGGTTAGACAGCATGTCCAGCTAACCAGTCAGACAGGGCCAACCTATAGACAACTGGAGAGCCCTCAAGTGGACTAAGCTGAGTTTGCGTGACCACAGCTCAAAGCTACGCCTATTGAAATGCATTTGAGGGCAAGTCCACCTGCTGGTCTGCCGTGTGTCTGTTCGCCCTGCTTCTCCCTGGACATCTTTTTTTTCCCAGGAGGTTAGCAATATGTTAAACTCTACCCCCATTCCCCTGTACAACCCCTGCCCCACTTTTAGTCCCATCTCTAGGCATCATAGTTTACCACCGTCTGGTCCTCGTTGCCCACTTCTGTACCTACTGCTGTTGAACCAAGTGTGCCTCGTAGTCTGCAGCTTCTCTGTCTGTGCTGCTGGATTCCTGAAGTCGCGCAAGCTCAGTGGGACAGAGGTGTTGGTGCTGGCAGTGGTGATTTCTGGTGCCCAGTGTGAACCAGCATTTTAAAATCTTTCTCAGAGAGAGACTCCCTTTGGCTCAGTGTTGACTAATACTCAGATAAAGTTTTGTGTTGATACATTCAGAAACTCCCTAGTGCTGTCTTCCTTGGAAATAAAATGATAGCATCCAGAAACCCCCCCAGTTGAGACCCCTACTCCATCAAATGTCTGTATCAGCAGACATTGGAGGAGAAGACAATGGCAAGTTCAGGCCCTTCAGGCGGTTAGGGACTGGGGAGAAGTTTGGTGTCAATGGTGCTTTGGTTCACAGTACTTGTTCTACCAAACCTACTTGTCCTGCCATCCCTCTTCAGGAAAAACGTTTGTACCATAGCCCATAATATAGGATAAAGTGGGCTTGGTGTTGCTTGCTTTGGGAAACACTACTTCGGGTAAAGGTATGTAGACGAGAGGAGGTAGAAATAGAAAAGGCTTGGAGTTGAACAGGGCAGGTGTTACCCGGGAAGTGCACATGATTGACTCCAGACCACCTCAAGGTCGCCCATTCGAGTGGACCTACTAAGCGGCCCTTGTGGAAGGAAACCTGGCCATCCAGTTCCATAGAGACAACAGCCTGCGGAGCCTTGTGGAGGAAGCCTGCACGGTCATGTGCAGCTTTGCCACGAGTTGCGATCTGTTTCCCAGGCATGGGTTTTAAGCTCTCTAGCTCTCTAGTTCATTCTTTGGGGAATAGCGTTCACCTCCCAGGGCTATAGGTAGAAGGTTAAATGGCACTTCCCTGATGAACAAGAGGCTGGACTCCTTTCTATTTATTGCACTTCACATCCAGTGGAAACCTGCCCTGTTGACAGCCGCGTCTTCTGCACCTGGGAGGAACAGACTCAGCCTGCAGGCTGCTGACCACCCTGGGGGCGAAGTCGCTCTAGCTTCCCTGTGGCCGCGCTCTGCCTCGCCTGCCTTGCGCTGATGATCTAAGCACACTTCGCTCTGGACGTACCACTTGGTCTCTGCTTCTGTTTCTGCTTGGCTGTGGTCACCTTACACCCAGAGACGTCTCTCCTCTCCCAGTTGGCTGCTTTGTGGCACCTGCTGGGGCGGTCCTTGAGGCTGGCAGAGGAATCCTCAGCGACATGCTTGATCTGAAATTCGAGGCCATGAAGGCCGCCCGAGTGACATGACTGTGAACAGTCCTTCAACAAGCCATCCGCTCCGTGAGGTGCCTCCTGCTGCGCACCCTGCACGAGCAGGCCCTTCGATGCCCGCCCGCTGTCATCACCACCCTCCACCCTCACCCTGCAGCCAAAGCCGGTTGGCTCTGCTGGCAGCACTTTGTGTTGCCCTCGGGTTAACCAGGTTTGTGGCATTTAGTGACGGCTGAGGAATGGGGCCGTGGATGTGAATGGGCTTGCTTCCGTGGCTAGCCCTCAAGGTGCTGCCGCCCCTCAAGTGAGCCTTGCAGCCAGCACGTTCAACTTACAGCTCTCGTCATTCAGAAAGATGGCCGGAAACCTTGCCCAGGAAGGGGTCTCTCTGGTTACAAGCCCCTGGGAACAGGACAAGTCAGCAAAAGTAGGGCTGAACTGTGCTGCCTTCCGGCTTCCAAAAAAGCCTCGTCCTCCAAATGACAGTACAGTATGTGCTCTCAGACCTCACTCCGCATCTTTGCCCCCGTGATTGTCACCGAAGGCCACCAAAGTCTGTCAGACTCCAGCCGTGCCCTCATTTGTGAGCACGGACCCCCGTGTTTGAACTAGTAAACTCGTATTAAGATGTTTTGCTTTTACAAGGAGCCTCGATGGCATAGTGGGTTACGCGTTTGGGCTGTTAAACCGCAAAGTCGCCAGTTTGAAACCTCCACCCTCTCCATGTGAGAAAGATGAGACTTTCTACTCCTGCAGAGTGACTTTCTACCCCTCAGAGTGACTTTCTCAGAAACCGACAAGGGCAGTTCTACCTGTCCTATGGCAGGGTCATTATGAGTCACATAACGGTTTTGGAATGGTTTTAAAACATCAAGCCCTCCTGTATATTTAAAATGTAACCACATGGGCAAGGAGTGAAAAGCCTTTGGTACGAAAAGTGTTATGGCTCAGAAGTCACGCAGCTGCTGATCCAGAAAGATCCCTGGTACCCTCTCTTCCCACCTGCACCTATAGCGATGCTCCTGTTCTTTGATAATCTTTGCTTTTCAGAGTGACCACTCTGTGGTCTTTGTTCTTAATCATGAACTTTCTGCAGCGATTCCTAATGCAGTTTCAGTTTTCGTGAGGAATTGCTAGCATGTGTTGAACGTGTGATGCTCGTCCCCGCGCCGGCGTGCAGTAGCTCACGCACTCCGTACCGTGGCCGGTACTGCGAAAGCCCCTGCTTGAAGGGAAAGCCGACCTCTCAACAGACGGAAAGAAAACCCTCCGTTATCCCAGCAGTAACCGATGTGCACGGTGCAGGGAGTCAGAACAAGCAGACACACGAAAATACTATACCCAGAGATGACCAGCTTTAAGAACTTAGTGTGATGTTCTTTCTGATATTTTTTAAAGAGACACAGAAATCCACTTCTCTAAAAAAGATAATAAAAAAAATTTTTTTTTTAATAATTTTAAAAAAAAGAAAGAAATCCACTTCTCATCTCCTCTCTCACCTCTAGTACCTAAGCCGAATTTTAATTTCCCCATATGTGTCCTAAACTGCCATTTATACCTGCTTATTCTAAACTATCTCATGCGACCATAAATTTCCACTGGCCATAATGGCCTTAAAGAGGGGGTAGTGGTTACATATTGGGCGTCGAATCTCATGGTTGGTTGTTCGAAACCACCAGCAGCTCTAAGGGAGAAAGACTGGGCTTTCCACTCCCATAAGCTATTACCGTCTTGGAAACCCACGGGGAGGAGGGACGGTTTGTCGCTGTTAGTCAGCATTGACCCCACGGCTGTGAATTCATTGCTGGCTTTTCTCTCTCTTCGAGTATTGTGATGAGCTGATGGGTTTTCATTAGTGGCATGTTCTTCTGTTCACTAATCATTCTGGTGGATGTTCACATTGTCACAAATCTGGACAGCGGAGAACCCTCAGAGAGAGAAAAAGAGAGTTCTTTTGTCCCTTGTTATTTTTCTTTCTGAAATCGCTCTTGTTTTCTATCATAACTAAATCTTCTCGGCTTACCTTGTAACGTTTCCTACTCCAGACCCCAGTGGTCTCGGAGCCTTTCCAGTGAGGAAGTGTGGTGAGGATGGCAGCAGAGGGAAGACAGTCTCCTTTTACGTGGTTGACAGTGGTGACGTGCTCGCCTGTTGACCAAAAGGTCAGCCGGTAGAGCCCACCCGTTGCTCGTCGGAAGAATGAATGGCAGTCAGCAACAGGAAAACGCTATGGCTAGAAAACCTTTGTGACGGATCTACTGTGTCTAAAGGGTCCTTGGAGCCCTGGCGGTGTAGTGGTTACACGTTGAGCTGCAATCCAAGTGGTTGGCAGTTCAAAACCACCAGCAGCTCCTCGGTGAAAGGCAGCGCTTTCTACTCCCATAAACAGTTACCATCTCAGGAACCCACAGGGCATCGCTGTGAGTCAGTATCCACTCGCTGGCCATGAGTGAGTGAACGGGTCATGAGTTGAAATCAACACGATGGACGTGGGTTTAGTTTGGGGTAATACGTTTGTAAACATTTTTGAGTGTGTGCTGATAAAAACCAAATCGATCTTAACATTACATTGTTTCTACTCACCTCCTATCTATATCTTCTCTCTTGCACCAACAAGATGTTTCCTTGTTTTATCATCATGTAATGCAAAGAAAATGATCTTGAAGTAAGTGGATTTTTATGGATCTGGTAGCTGAGGCCTAGGGAGGAACTAAATGAAAATCACACTGCACATAAGGGCCATGCCAGCCTTGTAAACCCATGATCGTCCGATTCCGTTGAGCATGCTTTTGGTAACCATACAGAGCTGTTCTTAATGTCTGGCTCATAAAGCCATTTTAGAATCTGCTGGACTGACCCCGTGAGAAATTCGGAATGCTCCCTCTACCCTGCAAAAGCTCTCCTGGGTGGCAAGATAAAGTCTCCACAGCTTTCCGGCTGTGCCTCTCCATCGCAAATGAAACTTCCTGCTCTACCTGTGACAGGATTGCAGCCTCCATCTCCTGGTGCGTTTGAGTGTGAGGGAAGTGGGCATTCCCTCCAGCCGGGCAGACTTTCCTGTGTGGCTTTAAAACCTTGCTTGAGCCCCTCAGTGTGGAGAGGGGTCCTATCCCCTCACCTGATAACCCCTCTCTGCTGTATTTGCAGGTACCTGTTTGCTCTGCAGGTGAAGCAGGACTTGGCTCAAGGCAGGTTGACCTGTAATGATACCAGCGCTGCGCTCTTGATCTCGCACATTGTGCAATGTAAGTTCTGTCGGTTGACGCCTTTTAGAAATCCCATTGGGAATGATTGATGGATGGTGGGGGGTGGGGAGGATCTCATCCACACAGAACAGTGTTAATGGCCTTGGGCTGTTGGGGCTTGGATGCCGGTGGCTGAAGAGAAAGCTGTATCCTGAACTTCATTTCGTGTGTCTTTATTCCAAACGTCAACGCGTGAATTCTGGTGTTCGTCTGTTTCATTCAAGGGTTGTCTCGAAGAAGAGACGTGGGTGGACAATGGCAAAGCAGACTAAAGTGGTTCTTCTCTGTTCCTCAATATAACGTTCATCTTTAAGTATGGCACCTTAGTCCTGAGACAGCGCTACCACAAGTGTAGCAGCATCTCGCTTTCTGCCCTCTGAGGTTCAGCAAACATGTGGAGCTGAACTGGAAGCTCGGGGTGCTCCCGAAAATGAACTATGTTAGTTTTTCCTCATTTAGACACAGGACAGATTAATTCTCTTTTTAAAGTGGTCTGATTGGCATATATTTCACATATCATACCATTTAAAAATTCAGTCATATTCAGATAATTAATGCAATCATCTGAAATTAATCCATTTCAGAACATTTTCTTCTCCATATTCATTGTTATTAACTCCCCATCCCCACCGTGCCCATATCGAGTTACTGTCCCCGTCGGTCTACCCATCCTGGATTTTACGTAACAGAAAATCATATAAAACAAAACAGGATCATACAAAATCATATCAAACGAACAACAAACATATAAAAACCCCAATCAAAGAGAAATCAAAATATTAAAACCTGAAACAATTTTAAAATGGGTCAAACATGGAGAACAAATGATAGTTATTACATTGTAATCTAACGACATCCGTCATAATCGACTTTATAATGCTCTCTGATGCAAGGCTCATACATGGACTCATATCAGTTCCCTAAATACCCACCTAGGATATCACTGTCCCCATTTTACAGAAGAGGCTCCTTCAGCTGAGAAGTGTGTGTGTGCACACACACAGCTGGGCTCTTATAAGAAAAACTTCTTCCCCTCTTCTTTCATTTGAATTATCTGTTTTCCTTCCCGTCTCCCTCAACTGACCTAATCTCCTGAAGTAGTCCAGACCCTCATTTTCTCTATTAAGATCTGCCAAATAAGGCCTGTCGATGAGGAGCGGAGTCTGACCTTAGATAGCCTTGGTACATCCACACCTCAGAAGTCCCTCGGAGGGGAGGGCGCGCCTGGCTGCGTTTCTGCCAGTGGCTTGTGTCTCCATCATTAGGAAACTAGACATGGCAAAATGGACTTGCCTAAGCACATTTCTATGAGAAGAACAGACTGTTGTTTATTGAAATGAGAGGGTTTGGGTTTCTTCTCTTGTTCCTGTGTTTGGCCCTGACTGCTAGGACACTTAGAGCCTGTACCCATACCTGCAACATAGCCCTAGAAGAAATAATAAGTGAAGTCTCAAACAGAAAATTAGGAAAAGCCTATTTCCATAGTTCAAAGGCGGAAATACATGGGCAGGAAATGGGTTTCATGGTCCTCTATTGCTGCTGCCTGTGAGGTGGCAACACAAGGCAAGTCACCGAGAAGCACAGAGAAGTAAAGGCAGATTGGCGCTGCCACAGGAGGAGACACTTGAAGCCCTACCTCATTTCTGTTGGATTTGGAGAAAGAGTATGTTCTAGAATCCAAATGAGTTGTGAAGCCGCACTAAAACTCAAGGACATAGGCATCTCCCCCATCTGCTTTCTTGGAGCCAGGTGGAGGGACTTGTAGCCAAGTCAAGCAGTTCTCTGTCCATATCCCCCATTTCTATGTCATTTTCCAGTGGGATCGTTTTATTCCATTGAGGGAGGGAGAAGTCAGCCTGGCAGTCAGGGCAGGGAGGGCATAGTCACCTGTCATAGCAGGAGGAAACTGGTGAGTGATAATTCTTCCAGCAAAGCTGGTGCCGGCTGGCTTGTCCCTGTTAGTAGGTGTGGTTGATGGCACCTTGGCAATGGTGCGTGGGCATTGGTGGTCTGTCTACCCAAGAGTGACAAAGTTCTTCACATGATGCAAATGGAAGGTAGGCTCTGTAGCAACTACTCAGCTTGCTTTAATCAAAACAGCTGCAGCAGCTGGGCTCTGCCAAGCAGCTCTCTCTCTTATTCTTATAATGAGCGCTTATTATAAGCTTGTATTAGACTGCCAGCCTAATTTCTCTTTGTCAAATGTTCTGTTACCCAGAACGCATGCCACACAGACAAAGGTACTGTCTGATGTTGCAATTGGTATAAGTTGTGCCGGAGGGGGTGTTGCTGAACTACGGTTTTTAAAGCGCTACCCTGTGAGCATCAAGATTAAAGCACTTGGGAACTTTGTTGAAGCTACATGAGGAAGAAAAGCATCACTGTCCCCCCCCCCCCCTTCTTTTCTTGCATGTCTTAGCTGAGATTGGGGATTTCGACGAAGCAGTGGACAGAGAGCACCTAGCAAAAAATAAGTACATACCTCAGCAAGATGCACTAGAAGACAAAATTGTGGAATTCCACCACGGTCATATGTAAGTCGTGTACTGCTTCATGTTCCCTTTTGAGCCCTTTCTCTCGGCCTTTCCAACAGACACACGCATGCGTGCACATTCCCTTGCTAACTGCGGTCAGAGGCTACGTAACATCCATTCAGGCATCCTACACGCCCTTGGTGCTGGCAGGTTATAACTGCGTTCTGAAGCCTGACTCCGAAAACACGATGTAGTGAATGCAACGGCTGCCCCCACGCAGCCCGTGTGGTGTACAAAGCAATTGCACTGCCAGCTGTAGACAGCATCCCAAACTCTCCAAAGGCGCTGGCAGCGAGTCGATTCCGGCTGATGGTCATGATAACTCCTGCATCATGTTCTATCTGTGACTCGTAGGTGGCAGCATCCTGTCTCGTGTTCTGCCGGTCTCTTGGTGGTTGGGGCATCATCGCTGTGTAATTTTCTTATGCATGTGTCGCCATGACGTGCATCTCTAAGTGTTGCTAAGTGACATGTGACGCGGGTGGAGGAGCCGAGCATAGAGCCTCACTGGGTTGTTGAGCACCTTTATGGTCTCCCACACTGCAGAGAAGGGCAGGTGTCCTCTGCCGCTGTATTGGGAGACCAGAGTGCTCAGGGATGTCATCAGCTGCCCTCTGGGGTGGGTGACTTTCCAAACTTGGGAATAAAGGGAGCTTGTGAGACCCACGCATTCTCCAGTTTTCATCTCCTGGGAAAGGTGGGAATGTGGAGGAATGGCAAATGAGGGACGAAGTAAGAATATTAGCATTTATAGCATCATCGTTAGGCTCCTTTTTTTTTTTTTAATCAGTTAAATAGTTAAGACGACTTCCGGGTGGTGGTGGTGGTGGTTTTGTCTAAGGAAGACACCCGAGCCTTGCTGACAGTCGGATACACAGTGTTGTCCTGACCTTTGCTTACAAGTGTAGATCCATTGTGAGTGATGAACAACTTGTAACAGAATGGCATTTACTTTTATGTAACCTTGAAAGGACGCTCTTTGACATTCCCAATGGCTGAGTTTGCCATAGAAGGGTGGGGTTTCATGTTACACAAGTCAATGGGGCTTTTGTCCCGGCTGCTAGACTTTGGGCTGCAGTGAATGGGAGGTTGGGTGTCACCTGATCGCCGAGCCCCCCACGGTTTGTGATGAAATGCCTTTTTATTTCCCAAGAGAGAAGCCGCTTAATCTCAGCCTCAGAAACTCAGGGAATTCAAGGCTCCGGGCCTTTCTTTTATTTTCTCTTCTGTCAGTGGACAGACACCAGCAGAGTCAGATTTCCAGCTCCTGGAGATCGCCCGCCGGCTGGAGATGTACGGAATCCGATTGCACCCGGCCAAGGACAGGGAAGGGACTAAGATCAACCTGGCTGTGGCCAACACGGGGATTCTAGTGTTTCAGGTAAGAGTGTTGAGCGCACCGCCCGGTGAGGAGGTCAGCGTGGTCCCCTTGACTCTGTTCCCACGATGTGTTGGCCAACTCAAGACCCCCAATAGTGGTTTTTAGGTGAGCAGGTTAAACTAGTCTCTTGGGCTCTCTTTTTCTTACCACGTCCGCAACTTGCAGCATCTCTTTTGTTTGCCTTTGCCTGGTGATGCACTTTTGTGGGCCGTGGCCAGTTGCTGTAGATCAGCTCCAGCTCATGGTGACCCCACTGATTGTGCTGCACAGGCCTTTCACGACTGGTTCGTTTGGAAGTAGGTCACCAGGCCTTGCTTCTGAGGCACATCTCAGGGAACTTGACCTTCCAACCTTTCTGTTACTGAAGGCATTCACCTTTTGCACCACATGCCCTTGTACTGATTGTAGAACCATAGGACTCTGCCTCTCTCAGTGAATTTATGCTTCGTGCCTAATAAAAATGGTAAAGACTCATAAGTTAATGGTGAAGAAAGCTGATGGTGCCCAGCTATATAGTGTCTGGGGTCTTAAAGGCTTGAAGGTAAACAGCGGCCATCTAGCTCAGAAGCAACAAAGCCCACATGGAAGAAGCACACCAGCCTGTGTGACCACGAGGTGTTGAAGGGATCAGGTATCAGGCATCAAAGAACAAAAAAAATCATATCATTGTGAATGAGGGGGAGTGCAGATTAGGGACCTAAAGCCCATCTGTAGGCCACTGGACATCACCTTACAGAAGGACCACGGGGAGGAGACAAGCCATTCAGGGTGCAGTGTAGCAACAATGAAACATACAACCTTCCTCTAGTTCTTAAATCCTTTCCCCCTGCCCCCACTATTGTCCAGCTAGACTAGAGGGTGTACACTGGTACAGATAGGAAGCGGAAACACAGGGAATCCAGGACAGATGATCTCTTCAGGACCAGTGGTGAAAGTGGTGATACCGGAGGGTGGAGGGAAGGTGGGGTAGAAAGGGGAAACCTATTATAAGGATCTACATATAACCAACCTCCTCCCTGGGGGACGGACAACAAGAAAGTGGGTGAAGGGAGACATCGGACAGTGTAAAATATGACAAAAGAATAATAATTTATAAATTATCAAGGGTTCATGGGTTGGGGGGGGGAATGATGAGCTGATACCAAGGGCTCAAGTAGAAAGCAAATGTTTTGAGAATGATGAGGGCAACAAGTGTACAAATGTGCTCGACATACAATGGATGGATGGATGGATTGTGATAAGCGTTGTATGAGCTCCCAATAAAATGATTTTTTTAAATGGTCAAGACTTCAGATCCCCGGATAAAGAGTTTTAGGTGCTTCTACATGACTTTCTACTGTAACAGGATCTTTTAACAACAAAAATAATTAAACCGTACTTGAATTGAGCCAGCTGACTTGTAACTTGCCCTGCCCACGATTTAAAAAGAAAAGTGTAGCAGGAACCTTTAAGATACAACTGTCCTATTGACTTGTGAATGCCACATCCTGGAAGAGGCAGCCCTGGGCCTCACAACGATTTAAAAGTTATTCGAGCCGTGATTATATGTGTACAAGCGAATGAGACCACCATTATCTGAATAATCGTCGCCGTCTGTTTTCATTTCTGCTTTACGGAAAGAGCCTCGTGTGGCTCTGGGGCTGCAGTTTGTCGGCCCTGCTCTGGATAATGAGCTCGTTTCTCCCCCAAGATTTTCCTTAATACTTTTCTTTGCAACAGTACTTTTCTTTGGTTAATCTGTGCCTTGGTTTTAGAAAGGTATAGAGACAAGATCTGCATTTCTTAGGAAACAATGTCCAATTCTACCTGTTTCTGAAACTGCAAAGATGTGCATGACAGAGAACTCCTTTGTCCTTTTTTGAACCCTGCACAGGCCTCCTTATACTTCCCCTGTGTATTTTATCCCAGTGTAGTCCCAGTGAATCTCCTCTTTCATCAGTACAGAGGCCTGCCCGAGAGGAGTCCAACGTTGGGTTTCGTGTCAGGAAGCTTTGTGAGCAGCATGGTATTCAAGGAGGTGATAGCTCTGGCCCTAACAGCATCCATGACTATGTGAGACAGAAAAGCAACAGTACGACCAAGTGTGCTTTTACTATCATCAGTAAACCTCTAAATCAAAAGCCTTAAACATTTCTAAACGTCATAAAGGAGGGGAAGGAGTTCTCACAATCGAATTAACTTGCTTTGATTGCCTCTGATAAGATCTCAATATTGAGAATTACTCAGTAATTTAATAATGCACACATGTATCTTGGCATTAATCTCCCTGCCCCTGCTTAATGGCTTCACTCTCACCACTTGGAATCAGTGGGCGGGGGCTCCAGGGGCTGAGTAGGCATGCCCATTGTAGTGGAGAGGGCACAACAGATGAGCCTGCTTCTGGCAGCACCTCACTGAGTCCCTGCCATGTCCTCTCTGGCGCCCAGAGGCCAACAGGAGATGAGTGCCACCCAGAGATGCCGCTCTGGTCTGGAAGCCACAGCTCTCGAGGTGCAGTCCAGTGTCTCCCCTAGGCTTACGGGTGCTTTGGAAAACTAGGCAGGTGCGGGAGGAGTCAGCCCAGCCTGGGCAGGAGGGGTGGCTGGTAACCCACCTGCTCCTGTTCTATTACCCACAGCTGGAGGTAAGGCCACTTACCAGATTTTTACCCGATTTTACCAGATGAACTCTCTGATGTTGAATACATTAAAATACAATAACATCTTTCTTTGAAACCCACAACTGGTGTAAGGTGAATACCTGTCCGACAAAGAATCTCAAATGTTTTCCACTAGCAGAGAATGACCGAACAGTGGAGAGGCTGCCCTGCCAAGGGCGGAAAATTGGGGAGACCTGGAAAGACTGGACTGGGGTGTCTCTACGTGACAGTATCCACGTCTGTAGAATGATGATAATAAACCCACCTCGCTGTGTTTCCTGGAAGGTTTTTATTTTTGTTTTCTTTTAGCTATTGTGCGAGTGAGATTTTCCAGAGCAAGTTCATTTCCCATTCAACACTTGATCCACATTGTGTCTCATCGGGTTTGTTGCCACCCCTGGATGTCACAGCACGATTCCCGCCTCCTATCTGGGGGCCTGTTTCCATTGGCCCACCTTTCCTGCCTTCCGGACCTGGGGGAGGCAGCTGCTCTCCTGTTGCATCAGCAGCTGGACTGTTCTCATGGCACGTGCTCTGCAGGGCCTTGCTGTGCGTTTCAAGGCCTGTCTTTTGTTTGGCTGAAAGGTGGTTGCCAGAAATGGCTTCTGTTCCAACTTCGAAGGGTGTCCGCGAGCCGCAGTCTTGAAGGCTCCGAGCGCCAGCCTGTATCAGACCACTGAACTAGTCTCCTTTGTGATTTTGAATATTGTCCTGTGCTTTTCTCCCACTCTGCCTGGACTTTCTATTATAGTCGTGATCGGGGGGTTGATGGTGGCAAGCAGGCCCCGGCTAGTCCTGTTCTCAGCCTAGTAGAGCTGAGTTCTTCTGGTCTTCTGTGGTCCTCGGAACTAAGGAGTTCTGGAGTCTTTGATTTTCTTCACTCTTCTTCGTTCTGTACGGAAAGCGACCAGGCCCTGTACCTTAGATGGCCACTGGCCCACTTTGTGAACCCGTTGCTGCTCATCCCAAGCAGGAGGTGGGACACTTGTCCTTATGGATTGTTATTAGATTCCAATCATCCCAGATGTCCCCGGAGACTCCCGCCCTGACCGCTCAAGTCCCATGACTCCATAACTCATGGTATTTAGTGTGGGCTAAGAAGTCTGCATAACTTTGCCCCCTGTCTGCTGTACTAGACACCTGACTGTATGTACAGCACATGTGGTTACCTACGTAGAAATGTCCTCTGACAACCCTATATCTGCTTGTGGGTGAACTCCCATATGCCCTTGCATGCCTGTTCGGCTTACAAATCTCCCTGTGTATCAGGGCTGTTGTGCTGCAGGACGTTGTACTTGAACTATTTACCTTCTGAAGGCGTGCCTCCCGTTGGCTTCTTTGCCTTGATTGGGCAGCACTGCCCCTCTCCTTAGTGTGTGCAGCCTTGGCCTTCACCCAAGTTACTGCAAGTTTGGGTGAAGTTCATACTATCTCGTTTGGGCTGGGGAATAGGGATAACTGGGGATGGCACAGGGCCGGGCAGTGCTGTTGTTCGTTCTGTTGTGCATAGGGTCAGTGTGGGTTGGAACTGACTCCATGGTACCTAACCACAAAACAACAATCGAGTTCATGCCTTGTAAGGTTCTGATCGGAGCAGGGATGTAAATCACTTAGTCCAGTGCATGGCACTTTATACTTGATAGCTGCTATTAAGGTTGGGTTGCAGGGTTTTATTTTTATTAGTTTTATTCTTATTTTTATCATTAATTTGACCAGCCTCCTCTCCCACTGGAGGCAGGTTTTGCCTGGGTGTTAAGTTGTGTAACTAACTGGGAATGATGACCCAGCAACTGGTACCACCCAGGACCCAAGGGCAGGCTTCCTGTACTGCCCCTCTGCAGCTGCCCATCAGGGGAACAGACCCACTCACTCTCGGGCCATGACTCCACATTTTGGCTCACTAGTTGGTCTCTCTCTCTCTCTGTCCCTCTTTCATTTTAGGGTTTCACTAAGATCAATGCCTTCAACTGGGCGAAGGTGCGGAAGCTGAGCTTCAAGAGGAAGCGCTTTCTCATCAAGCTTCGCCCTGATGCAAACGTAAGTGGTCCATGGAGGTGTGTGTGTGTGTGGGGGGGGGGGGGGGGGGCTCACAGGCTGATAGCTGCTCAGGCAGAGCTTGTATTGAGAATGGGCCATGTGGCCCTCCCAGGAGTGCTGTGAAAATTAACCCTGAATTTCAGAGCAGGTAAAGGTGCTGGGTGAACAGCACGATGAACATAATTAATGTCACTGAAGGCACTTGGGTGGTGCTGTGGGCTAGGTGTCGGGCTGCTAACTGCAAGGTTGATGGTACAAATCAACCTGCTGCTCTGCTGGAGAAAGATGAGGCTGTCTGTTGTCACAAAGATTTCCATTCCTGGAAACCCTGCATAAAGTGGATTGACCCCAGCCTCTGCTGTCTGCTTCCTTGACTTGGACCAGCAGCCGGTGTGAGTTGAAGGACCTTTAGTATATTACTGTTCCATGAAAGTGAGTTGAACTGAGCCCTTTGTACTGTTATGTGGACTAATTAGCTGTTGTGTTCCTTCTTGCTATATAAACCTATGGTTTTGTTTCTCTAGAGAACCCTGCCTAACACAATTAGTACCAGGAGTGGGGTAGAGGCAGCATTCTCTGTAATGTTTTTTTGATTTTGTTTTTATTCATTCTCTGTAATATTAGGCCTAATCAGGCTGGAAAACCAATTTGGGAAACCCATATTTATAATCTTGTTTCTCTGCCATGGCAGTAGTTGGTTTTAGATCTATACAGGTGAGGATTGTTGAAGCAGTATCCCATTGTGTACTTATATCAACTTATCACATGTACACCCACACAGTTACCAGGGGAAAAAAACTGAACTACCTTCTGAATGTCTGTACTCAGAGATGCATTTGGGACAAAGGCCAAGCATAGAAGGTGCTTAGGAAGCAGGTCATTCACCTGCTGACAAGCACCTTGACATTTTTCTGCTGTTTCTAGGCACACCCTTGCCAACTCAGGAACTACCCTGGAACTCAGGGCCCTGCTGTTGCCCCAAAAACTCTAAGGGCACATTCTCACAGGCTAACTGGGTCCTCCCTGAGTGACTGATGCTGTTGGGGGCTGATGAATCGATTTTGACTCTTCTCCAACCCCCGTGTCAGAGTAGAGTTGACAAGGGGATTCCCAGTCTGTCTTCTTCACTGAAGAGGAGAAGGTGGGTGGGCTTGAACCACCAACCTTTCAGTTAGCAGCTGAGCCTTTAAACCTTGAACCCCAAGGGTTCCTTTGACGTCCCATGAAATCCCTAAAGAGTCTGTTCGCACCAGACCTGGGCCAGGGGAGGCAAGAACAGCATGTTTTCCATCGCCTGGAGATGGTGAACAAAAAGGAGAGCTGAAAGACATATCCCCGGGGTCTCCAACCAGAATTTAAGAGTACTTTCTCCCAGGGCAAGAAGATTATAATAGATTATTGTGTGGCTACAGTCTGGATTGGATAGGGTCTTTGCATCTGACCTGGGAACCAACCCCTTTTTATGCGTCCTTCTCTTTGAGTTTAAGAAGCTGACTTACAAATGAAGGCACGCAGCCCAGCTTATTTTGTAAGTTGAGACAGCCCAGGACTGCGAGATCTCCCCAAATAGTGGGACTGCTGGGTATTCGATGGATTGGGACTGCATTTGTTAATATCAAATGGCCCCGTAAATCAGGAGCAATCGGTCATGGGAATAGAAACTGTCCATGTTCCCTTTCCAGAATTGCAGAGTTTTCGTTCTAAGAGCGATAATCTTGTGCTCCAGAAGAGAGGGAAAATGTTTCGTTCCCTGTATGGTTCCCAAGGCCACCTGCTGGTGTGAGCCATGGCTATTTCCTGGAGAAAAGCATGAGGAATCATCTCAAGTAGGCATGACCCACGAGGCAGACATCAGAAAGAATTGTATTTTAGTCACATGGAAGAGGCAAAAAGGGAATTTGGGTAGTTGGAGTTTTGCTGCTGCATCTTTTTATTTTTCCTTAGAAGGAAATGTAAGCCAAGTAAGCATAATTTGTGTATGAATTCTGTCCAAAGAAATATGATCACTTCCGCAGAATATATGCCACTCTGTTCTTTTAGTCCCTCTAAGGAATTCCAGGGGGAAGAAGCGCTCTTGTCTAGTTAATGAACCCGACGCTGTTGTGTCAGGAGTCCTGATGGGGTGGGGTTTGCAAGTTGGGCTGCTAACTGCAATTCCAGCCGTTTGAAACCATCAGTCTCTCCGAGGGAGAACGGTGAAGCTTTTACTCCTATGAAGACTGACAGCCTCGGGCCTCACTGCTGTAGAGTTGCTGTGAATCAGCATCAACTCAATGGCAGTGAGTGAGAGACAGAGGCTGTTGAATAGTATACAATTAAAATGATCTGGGCTAAATCATTTCCTCCTCGTTCCTATGTGAGACACTGCATATGATGGGAAAACACAGGCATGTTCTCTTCCACAGAGCTCATACCAGGATACCCTGGAATTTCTGATGGCCAGCCGGGATTTTTGCAAGTCCTTCTGGAAAATCTGTGTTGAACATCATGCCTTTTTTAGACTCTTTGAAGAGCCCAAGCCAAAGCCAAAGCCTGTCCTCTTTACTCGAGGGTCATCCTTCCGGTTCAGGTAAGGGCATCACATCGGTGTCATTTGCCTCACACACAGCATTGGCTGACCCCTTTCCGGGTGGCTGTCACCACTGTGTGACAGCTGTCGGGGAAACAGCTCTCGGGAAGTCCTAGCAGGCCCTTGGCATTGTCCTTGTTCTGTGTGTGCATTTGAGCATCAACCTGCCCCAGAATCGGAATTCTCCCACGGAGAATGGTTTTTCCCCATCTCTGTTGAAGCACATCTCTGTTAATAACACCCGGGTCCTGGACAGAATGAAACGCAGGCCTGCCCACCATCGACTCACTTAATGCATTCATTCTTTCAACAAGGTTCTGGGTGCCTCCCAGAGGCCAAACGCCATTTCAGGCATCGGGGGAGCACAACATTTGTTGTATTGAACACCATTATCCCCACTGTCATGGAAGTTAGAGGCGCTTGGGATGGTTGCTCAATAACCACACACACAATTACGTGGGCTGAGTTCACTGGCCATTCTCCCACCGTAAAGGAAGGGAGTAGCAAGAGATTGGGCATTAACCCTGGTTCCCGAGGGCTACTGAGAAACCCCACATCTCTCCCGTGATGGAAGGAGAGGGGAGCCAGCAGTGCTGACGAGCTTGGGTTTGTGTGCTGAGATGCGAATGCCTTGGTGTCTTCTCTTTCTTCCCTTCGGGTCGTCATTCCAGTGGTCGGACTCAGAAGCAGGTTCTCGACTATGTGAAAGAAGGAGGACATAAGAAAGTTCAGTTTGAAAGGTAAGAGAAACCTGGCTGCTATTCGTGACCAGACACGAGCCATGCCCTCCGGGTAAATAGTAGTTTCTGCCTGATACATAGCCCTTCCCCCAGGCTCAGAGTTTAGCAAATGGTCGTGTGATCGAAGTTTGCTTCACAGTCAACCATGGCCAGTTTGTTTCCCGCAGGAACGTGTCGGGGCTGGAGCGTCAGATGGGATGAGAAGGAGACTGAGAGGACAGGTGCAGGAGAGAGGAGCGTTACGGAGGAACGGGAGGCAACTCCGGGGATCTGTATGAGAGACTGAAGAGCCAGTTTTCAATCACGGTGGTGACGTGTGACAGGAGTAGAACTGCCCCCAGCTTTTTTCAGGGTGTCGGTGTTTCTTGGAAACCAATCACCGTGTCTGCTTCCTCAGATGCCTTGGTGGGTTGGAAATGCCAGCGATCAGTTGGCAGTGTGTCACCATCGGGTTGCCAGGGCTGCTCTCTCGGGGGTGAGATGCAGTTAAAACCTTGCTCACCAGTGAGTGATGAAGTGTTTAAGGGTTTAAACAGAATGTATTTCTTCTTCTTTTTTTCAAATCATTTGACTGGGGGCTTGTACAACTGTGATCACAGTCCATCCATACATCCATTGTGTCAAAGCACATTTGTACACTGGAATGTATTTCTATGGACTTTTTAATCAGAGTTCGGATAAGAGTTCTTGTTGGTAGGGCAGCAGCACAGTACCGATAGCTGTTCCTAAATGCCAGGCACTTTCCCACGTCCTGAGTCTGCACACCTGCAGGCTGAGGTTGGTGCAGTCTTCATTCCTCCTTAAAGATGGAAAACTCGAAGTTTCTCAAAGAGGTTAGATAATTAGGCAGTGTGGTGACTCAAGCACTATTTCATGTATACATTTTACACACCTTCACCACACACACACACACACACACACACACACATGCGCGCGCGCGCACTTCTTTTGATGCACTTAAAGATTGCTGTAAGGTACAGAAAGGCAGCCTGAGGTCATAATGCATTGGGCTGCAAGCTGCAAGGTCAGCAGTTCGAACCCTGCAGCTGCTGTGCAGGAGAACGCTGAAGCTACCTGCTCCTGCAAAACTTTTCGGCCTCAGCCCTTGGCCATTGGACTGGTCTGAGTTGGCATCACTTGATGCCAATGGATGGACAGGCAGTACAGGAAACAAAGCGAATATATACCCACACTCTCGCGGCTTAGAGTCAGCACCTATGACAGCTCTAAAATGTTTGTTTGTAATTCTCTCTTTGCCCCTTTTATTTCTAGTTATCATGGTTGCAGATGTGGCTAAAACCCCTTTAACAACAGCAACAGAAAAGCCCTGCCATCATCACCAAACCCAAACCAGCTCACTGCCCTCCAGCCCTTCTGGCTCGTGGCAACCCTGTAGGACAGGGTAGAGCTACCCCTGTGGGTCTCTGAGACTGTCACTTCTTACAGGAGTGGAAAGCCTCGTCTTTCCCCTGAGGTACAGCTTGGTGGTTTCAAACTGCTGACCTTGTGGTTAGCAGCCCAAAGTGTCACCACTGCGCCACCAGGCTCCTCCCCACCAACAAAGCAAAAAGGACAGTTGTCCTCCTGTGAGTTCTGCCTGCTGGCAACCCCCTGGGTGCAGAGTGCGTCTGTGCCCCATCGGGCTCCCAGGGCTGCACTCTTTCAGAAGGAGACCCCCAGGCCTTTCTTCCGAGGTTCCTCTGGATGGGTTTGAACTGCCATCCTTTTGGTTAGCAGTTAAACACTAACCGACAACACCAACTCAGGAACCCCCCTTTTTTTTATTATTATTATAGTGAGAGTGAGAGTGAGTCACTGAATGAGGCAGTGAGAGAGTGAGGCAGTGAGTGAGTGAGAGAGTGAGACAGTGAGAGTCAGTGAATCAGAAAGTGAGTGAATGAGAGAGTGAGGCAGTGAGAGTCAGTGAATCAGAAAGTGAGTGAATGAGAGAGTCAGGCAGTGAGAGAGTGAGGCAGTGAGTGAGTGAGGCAGTGAGAGAGTGAGGCAGTGAGAGTGAGAGTGAGTCACTTAGTGAGGCAGTGAGAGTGAGACAGTGAGGCAGGGAGTGAATGAGACAGTGAGAGTCAGCGAATGAGACAGTGAGTGAGTGAGTGAGTGAGTGACACAGTGAGAGTCAGTGAGTAAGACAGTGAGTGAATGAGAGTCACTGAGTGAGTGAGAGTGAGGCAGGGAGTGAATGAGACAGTGAGAGTCACTGAATGAGAAAGTGAGTGAGGCAGGGAGTGCGTGTGTATGAGTGAGCCAGTGAGAGAGTCAGGAAGTGAGTGAGTGAATCACTGACTAGGCACTGAGAGTGTGAGGCAGTGAGTGAGTGAGTGAGGCAGTGAGACAGGGAGTGAGTGAGACAGTGAGAGAGTGAGGCAGTGAGTGAATGAGACAGGGAGGGAGGGAGGCAGCGAGTGAGTGAGACTGAGTGAGGAGTGAGTGAGTGAGTGAGTGAGTGAGTGAGTGAGTGAGTGAGTGAGTGAGTGACACAGTGAGAGTCAGTGAATGAGACAGTGAGTGAGAGTCACTGAGTGAGACAGAGAGTGAGGCAGGGAGTGAATGAGACAGTGAGAGTGAGTGAGGTAGTGAGAGAGTGAGAGTGAGGCAGTGAGAGTCAGGAAGTGAGTGAGTGAGAGTGAATCACTGACTGAGGCACTGAGAGTGTGAGGCAGTGAGTGAGTGAGGCAGGGAGTAAATGAGACAGTGAGAGTCAGTGAATGAGACAGTGAGAATCAGTGAATGAGACAGTAAGAGAGTGAGACAGTGAGTAAGTGAATCACTGACTGAGGCACTGAAAGAGTGAGGCAGTGCATGAGTGAGTGAGGCGGTGAGACATTGAGGCAGTGAGACAGAGTGAGTGTGTGCAACAGTGAGTGAATGAGACAGTGAGAGTCAGTGGATGAGACAGTAAGAAAGTGAGGCAGTGAGAGATTGAGAGTGAGGCAGTGAGTGTGAGTGAGATAGTGAAAGAGAGGCAGTGAGAGAGTGTGAATGAGGCAGTGCGTGCGTGAGAGAGTGAGGCAGTGAGACATAGAGTGAGAGTGAGTCACTGAGTGACCCAGTGACAGAGTGTGTGTGCGGCAGTGAGTGAGTGAGACAGTGAATGAGTGAGAGTGAGGGAGTGAGTGAAACAGTGAGTGAGTGAGTGAGTGAGTGAGTGAGTGAGTGAGTGAGACTGTGAGAGTCAGTGAATTAGAAAGTGAGTGAATGAGAGAGTGAGGCAGTGAGAGTGAGTCAGGAACCCCTCTTTTAAACGCAAGCTCCGGCCCCTTCATTTCCTCCTCCCATCTCTAAAACAACAGATCAATTTATGCTACTACTTTGGTCCAGAAACAATATATAGTATTAATTTGCCGTACAGTATACAGTGTTGCCTTGCTTGTGTGTGTCCCCTACCCCACCCACCCTGTAGATTTGCAGTATTAGATTGATTAATTCTGCATCTTGCTTGTTTAACCCCACCCCGTTTTGGAGAAGCATTTTAAGTGTAGTCTTATGCAGCCATTACATTTTTCCTTCTTGCTGTCCCTATTACCATATATATTTATGTATAAACTGACTTTTTCAGCACATTTTAAAATGTAGTTCTTTGTGGTAAAATTAGGTGCCTGGGCTGATAGTCGGTCATAAACATTCAAGCTGCTTTGGTACTTCGTTTGGTTTTGTTTTGGCTGAAACGACAGTGCCACTCTGGCCATCTTCATGTGTTCTCCCTGTGGCAGGATATCTGTAGCCACTCCCCTGGCACAGGCCAGCAACGTACGCACGGGCAGGGTTTAGTGTCCCTTGTTTGGGTATGACAGACCCCACCATTTCCTGGGTGGCTAGTGATTATATCCTCAGTGTAAAATGCAGATGTTCCAAGAGCCTTTTTTCTATATGAATTTGGAGTGTTTTGATGAGAAGCTTATCCATATATTGGAATTTAAATCTCTCATATATTTATATAATGTCAGGGGTTTGAGTGCTTGACATTTTTTTTAATGCTATCCAGTGGGGTGAGAGGCAGTAGACTGATGATATGAATAGATAAAGAGGGCTTCATGGTAATGGAAACAATTCCTTCTACTATTGAATCAATATGTTCATTCACAGAGGATACCTTGTCATTACCTCTTATAGCACTGAACTAGGAAATAACCACACCCACCACTACCCCCACCCCTGCCCACAAACCACACTCACCATCATCGAGGGGATTCTGTCTCACAGTGACCCTAGTATAAGGTGACCAGATTGTAACATTGGTAAAGCAGGACACCATTGATAAAACTCATATCCTGGCGAAATAGCCACATGGCAGCCGAAAACCATATACCCTGGCTTGTCATGCATTCTTTCCAAAAATCAGGACTTTTTTTAAACGCCACGGGACGCGGGAAAATTTTTTTTAAATCGGGACTGTCCCGCCAAAAGCGGGACGTCTGGTCACCTTACCCTGATAGAACAGGGTAGAACTGCCCCGTGGGTGTCTGAGATTATAACTCTTTACAGGAGCATCTGTGCGTTAGTCTAGGTGGACTTGAGAAACAAATTCATAGACATCCATATGTGTATAAGAAAGAGGTTTATGTACAAGATCAATTGAATATTGAGAAAACATCCCAGCCCGGTCCAGATCAAGTCTGTAAGTCTGATATTAGCCCATATATCCGAAACCAATCTATAAAGTCCTCTTCAGACTCACGAAACACGTGCAATGATGCCGAATGCAGGAAGATCCGAGGCCAGTGGGTGGAAAGTCTTGTGGATCCAGTGGCATAAGCATGTCAGCGCTGGCAGGGGTCTCCATGTGGCTTCTTCAGCTCCAGGGCTCTAGGCTAGCTCCATGTGTCTTATCAGCAAGCATGCCTCGCAGGAAATGAGCCTCTGTCCCGCCCCCATCGAGCTATTTAGTGCCTCCAAATGAGTTCATCAGGCTGTGACCTGATTGACATGCTAAACTCCACCCATTCACTCTTGTCTGAAATTGACAACAGATGGTGTAACTACCACAAACTGGTCGTTTCGAACTGCTGACCTTTCAGTTGACTTGGCAGCACGATGCATAACTCTCTATGCCATTTGGGCTCCACGTCTAAAGTAATTACTCCAAATACACGAATTGATTTCATATGCTTGGGCCACGCCTTATCTAGAACTTGAAGCCAGTGCGGCTCTGGCCAGCCTCTCTCTGCTCAGTGACTTTTTAAGATATTACTGAATTTTGATTGTTCCTTTGAACAACTGGACCACTGGGAGCAGATCGAGGGTGGGGGGGTGTGGCTTAGAGAGAGCTTCCTCAAGGTTTAAGGAACCCCCAAGGGCTACAAGTGCTAGGAGAACTGGAGAAGACGGTCGGTCAGTCTGCTCCCCAGCATCAGTGGTCACATCCCATGGGCGGCCTCATTATTGCCGAAGGCCCCAGGGCTGCCGAGACCCAAACTGAACAATAGAGAAACTCTCTGCTTGCCCTCTTGCTGCCGTGCAGAGCGCAGTGGAAATGGCTTACTGCAGGTGTGGTCCGGGCCGACTGAACACCTGATAGTCTGTCATGTGGTCTCCCTTTGGGCCGTTTTTAACGTTTCCTGCCTTCTTTCTGATCCAGGCTTTTCTCCATGTGACTGTGTTGTCGGTTGTTTGGTGGTTTCGGCGGTTTGTTTGTGTTTTGTATGTTTTCCTGTACACCAACGCCAGTGTGGCTGAATCTACGGAGACAGTCACTGGATTGGTGGCTTCTTGGGGGTGTGGCAGGGGGACTGGGAGGAAAGAGGGAGCTCCTAACAATGAGTGCCGGAAAGGAGAAACTGTTCTAAAATCGATTGTGGTGACGATTGTACAGCTCTTCTCGACATGGACGAACGATCGTCCACTATGTGGACTGTGTGCCAATAAAACTGTTAAGAAAATACAGCTCCGCTCACACTGGCTCTCTCGGGTGCTCTCTTCCCAGGAAGCACAGCAAGATCCATTCCATCAGGAGCCTGGCCTCGCAGCCTCCCGAAGCGAATGCAGAAGTGCCAAAACAAGTCAGTAAGGGCGACCGACGTACCCCTGAGCCCCCTGCTCCACACGCTCCCTCTCCTGAGCGGGACCCTAGCTTTCCCGGTGCTCTGACGTGACTGCCAGGGACGTTTCCAGACCAGGGCCCAGCAGACATAGGCTTGGTGCTGGGTGTCAAGTTCTACAGCTGGCTTCCAGCCACGGTCCAGCCGGGGGTGGTCTAAGCCTCAGAGAGGTTTGCTCTGTGGGCCCAAGCTCAATGTCGGGCAGGGAGGCCATGGCCGAGAGCCAGCAGAGCCGAGCCCGCCATCAGCAAAGGGGACTGGCTTGGGCAGCACAGACTGAGAACGGCTTTGCAGCGGGCAGGTGTAGCTCCCGCTTGGTGCCCGGCTCAGAACCTTTTTTGGCATGGAACTGGGCAGTGGGTTCCCACCCGGGCTTGTGTTACAGGGCAGTGACCGCAAATGGAAGCAAGAGGCATTATCGCCCGAGCTCAGAGTGGGAGTGGGGAGCTCGCTTTTCCTGGCCTCCGTTTGAGTGGCGTTCCAGGGTTTTCTCTGAGCAAGAGTAAGAACTTTGCCGGAGAAAGATTTCATCGTGTGGGTTTTTCTTCTTTTCTTTTGTAATGTTTTGTAATGTTTTTAAGTGCTTTGCCTAGCCGTAGCATGCACTTAGAAGTGTAAGCAAAGGGGGTTATGCTTGCATCTCCTGAAGTTTGTACCAAGTTGTTCTTAAGAGTCCAGTGACTATCCATCATCCTCTCGCGGACCGCAGTTGCTCCCGAGACCCTCTCTGGATTGGCAGGGCCTTCTGTTCCATACAAGTGGGGGGAACACAGCCTGAAAGTGGGAGTCCAGATAAGCAGAGACAGTGCCCATCACCCCGCTGGGGGGGCACCCAGTACGATCACAATCGAGTGCCCTTCCCCGGGGGCACATTTCCTATCAGAGAGGCACGCGGGGAAGGGCCCTTTATTCGCCTGTCCTGTCCAAGGGTTCAAGGGGAATGCTGTTACCTTCCAACTCGACTCCGGTGCTGCTGTAACCCTCTCCCTTTTCTCTTCCTCTCCCTCCGTCCCTTCTCTCCCTCCCCCAACCCCAGTCTCCGCCGAGCGCCAGCCTGACACGTGGAGATGGTGCAGAATTGCCAAGAGGCCCGAGCTGCCAGCCGGGAAAGGAGCAGACAGGGCCCGCCGAGGAACCGGGGCCCCCACGAAGCCCGTCTCTGAAGAAGAGCCCCCTGGGGAACAAGCAGGCCGATGGCGCCGTTGTGGTGACGCTGGAGGAAGAGGAGGAGGCGGTTCAGGACCGGAGCCAGCCGAGTAAACCTCGAGCCCAGCACCCCAGCACAGGTCCAGCATCCAGGGCTGCCCGCGGCAGCAGCACTTCCATCCCTTTCATCGACTGCAGTGACGTAGATAGTGAATGCGATCTTCTCAGAGAACATGCGTCCCAGTCACGGTCCCAAACAAATGGCAATTATGAGGGTGATTTGACCAGTGGTGTTTATCTGCTCTCCCGGGAGGAGAGGCCAATGCAGGCTAGGCACAGGGCATCCCTTCTCTCTCTAAAGTCCTCCCGGCTGCCCTCCCGAGAATTCATTGATGACGATTCGGCAGACCTAACCTTTGATATCAGTGGGAGCCCCAGACTCCCAAGGCACAGCTCTCTGATTGATGAAATGTTCCGGGGCTCGGGTGATCGCAGCCCCCTGGCCACCCCACTGTCTCCCAGCAGCAGAAGCTCAAGTCCCAGTATGAGTTGGGACAGGACGGGGTCTCAGGGCTATGTCTCTGAAAACGGACATGACTGTAGAGAGAGGAGCGTGGGAGACATGACACTCCCAAGCGGGGGTCCCCGTGAAGGCAGCTGCTCCCCTGTCCTGCAAAGACCGTACTTGCGGAACCTTCCTAGCCGGTACAACAAGTCAGAGACAGACCCCCTCATCCTTAGCCAGGTGGCGTCGACCCTGGAGGAGACCGAGATGTTGGACGGCCAGGAAAAGCGGGGGCTGGCCACCCTGGCTGCCTCAGGGGCCCGGCTGCTGGCTAATGGCTCCCCCCTTCTGGGGCCGAGCCCTAAGATGCCCACAATGCGGCCAGTGTGTACCAACAACATGGTAGACCAATTGGCTCCCCTGCATATGACCGAGGCCTCTACCAGTGGGTCTGAATGCAGCGATTCAGACCCCGATCTGGCAGCTCCCCCCATCCAGACCCTAGCATTTGGTAACCCAGCCATGCTGAGGTCCCCTTCCACGCCCCGAAGTAAGAAGCCCCTGGGCAGCCTGTGTCTGAGAGAGGAGGCAGAGGAGGAGGAGTGAGGAGGCCGGAAGGCAAGCCCCCAGCCGCCGGTGACCTGGGCTCATTAGTTCAGGCTTGTGATAGGGATGACCTGCCTGACGGCTCATTACTGCTTAATCAGTCTTTCTTAGAGGAAGTCTGGGGCACTTGTCTGCACACCGTGGCTTGCTTTCCAAGAAAACATGTGCAAGATAAACAGCAAGACAGAATGACAAATGACCAGGGGCTGGTCTGTCTTGCTGGTGGAAGGCTGGCAAGGACCAGTTCATGCTCAGTCTGATCACGTGCGTAGTATGTTGTAGTTACGTGGAAATTTTCTCTTGTCTGTTCAGTTCTGTAGACAGCTTACCCTCCTACCGTTTAAGCGTTTGGACCAAAATATATCCTTGAGACATCCCAGGCAAAGTGTTGATGGGACTTTCCCCTGGCCCCTTCATTTAAGAGGAGCCCTGAGCCTCGTAAAGCGAGGAGCTGACGGAATCCAAGGGGAAGTGTAAGTCTATTGCTAGTGGAGATCTGAAGTTGAGAATAATGACTATTTTGATGGGAAGAATTTGGAGTTGTTTCTTCTTGCCAGACCTCGTAGGAAATGCTCTGAAGGTGGCCACACCTTCCGGAAGTGTCATTTGGATGGGATTGCCGTTGTGCTATGGGTTTGCATTCATGATGGCATTGTTAGTCAGGTTTGAAGAAGGCCTAGCGCCGCCTCTCAGAGTCTCCTGATGGAAGCCCGATGCCGCCGAGTAACGAGAAGGGGAAAGTCATTCATTGCTGAAGACACGGTTGTCCCCGGAAGGCTAGGCCACAGAAGCACGCACCACCTAGGGCTAGGGGAGGCTTGAATGGCTTGGGGGCACGTAGTGGAAGTAGGGACTTCTGGATGTTACTCTGAGCAGGGGGAGAAAAAAAAAGATAGTGTAAGTAGTAACAGGTTTGACTTCTTTTCAAATCTTGCCCTTCGTCAGTGCCTTTAACCAAGCATTCCAGTTTTCTAGATGAAAGAGCGTGGCTTTTGTTCTCTGTGCTTACCGTAGCTCCCCAGTGGAATCACGTGGGACGTTTGTAAGTGCCGTGATGCTGGGTTTCTGGCCCCAGATATGTGGATGGGCTCCTGGGCAGCCACTGTCACTTCTCTGCCAGAGCAGACTGCCTTCTAGAATCTCCTGGGGCTTGCTTGCCGAGGACGGAGGACAGCACAAAGGAAAAGTCTGCCCCTATTGCTTCCATGATTGCTGGCTACTTGGTACTTCACCGTCTTCGGTCCTTTTAAAAGATAAACCATGTAGTTAAAAACGCAGATACTGGCGGTTGCCACAGGGTCATTGACGAGGGTTGTAGCTAGGGTGCCTCCTGGGTGTGCCACCGTGCCAGGGGCCTTACTGGGCTCACCGTAGGACTCTGTCACAGAGGAGAGCCCAGCGTGTGCAGCTAGCGTAGAACTGGGCCTCTGTGCGGAACAGAAGTATCGACGGGCCTCGGGGCTCACAAATGATAGCCTGGCCTCATGGCGTCCGTGCCTCTGCTGTCGAGATTCTGACGAGTGACCCCATTTTCAAACGCTTTTTAAATTTTGCTTTTCTAATCATTTGATTCAGTGCATGATTAGTAAATCAACCTAGTTATTGGCTAGGTGGAAAGATGTCCATTGAGGTATATATAGCCTGTTTGTGTGCTGCTTTAGATTTGTATGCTTAACATTATCCTAGGATTTTTATGTGATAAGGGCCCTTGGGGACCACTGAGGGCAGACTTTCGTTTTGCGGATAAGGCGATTTGGTCTGGAAGGCGAAATGAGTGCGCGGTCTCACGGCTGCTGCACGAACCAGGGGCAACCCACGCCTGGGCCTCCCGCTTCTTACCCCCTGCGAGGGCTTTCCACACTGCGTGATGTCGTCTTCTTATACGGCGTCTTGAAGCAACGGGGCCTTTGTGAGTCCCATATTCTAGTTGTGGAGTCTTGTGGATTACATATAACCAGTTTTAGAGACTAAGGATTCTAGACTTGGGCAATCACAGATCCCTAACAGGTGGTTTGAATGAATCGCAGCTGCTTGTCTTGTGGGGGATTGCCGTGATAACAAGAGTTTGCATCTTCTGTGCGGGACCGGAATGTGAATTTGCTACGGAACCCAATCGTCTCCAGTCAGTTTAGCAGCCGGGGGTTTGAATCCTGTGGTTTATTTTCGGGAGGTGGTTGGCTCCCATGCGTTTTCTTCTGTGCCTTGATCCTCGCGAGCAGTCTCATACGGAATCCCAGTGAACAGAGCGTTAACTTGCCCGGCACAGAGTGCAGACCATTCAGGGGAAACTCCGAAGCAGAACATCACTGCCACGACGACTTCGCTTTGCCAAATCGGATAAAGAAGTGATTTTATCTGAAGGGTTTGGAGAGCATAGAAGTGGGCTGCCGTCCCTGTCGACGAGATTGTCCACTTCCACGGTTGCTCCGAGGTTTTCCTCCCCGGTTTTATACCAGCTTCTTGATCATGACTTAGGGTAGCAGCCGAGCTGAGGTAATGTCTGGGTGGTACTCACAGATGAGGAGGTACGGTTTGTTTCCGAACAGTTAGCACGCACATCTGCTAAGTGAAAGGTTGGCGCTTCAGGCCCACCCAAGGGCACCATGGGAGAAAAGGCCTCACAGTCTGCTTGCAAAAGTCAGTCTCAGCAAACCCGAGGGAACCCAGTTGTACCCGGACACACTTGGGGTCACCGAGAGTCAGACTTGACAACCCAGTATGCTGTGTTCGAAAGCTGCATATTCTGAAGCGCGGAGAATATTTGCTAATTGCCTCTATGGGAGCTTGCATTGCCCTGTTCAAGATTCCAGAACATTTCTTCGAGCCTGGTGGAGCAAGCCTCACGCACTGCAGAGCTCAGGAAAAGCCACTACCTTCACCTTCCCCGCTCCCAGGATCTCAGATCCCGAGAGACTACCCCTACCCCATCCAGAAGTCTGCCAGGGCCCTGAAGGGTCACTGCTTAAGAAAGGACCGTTCAAGTCAGATTACAGGAGGACAGCCATCAGAGTTGGGTGAGGATGGCTAGGTAGCTGAGATTCGAAGCCTCTGAAGCTGGTCAGATTTCCCCAGGGGTGTCTCAAGACCTGTCAGCCCATTTTTCTAGGAGAACAGGTCTCCTGAGCCCTCGAATAAGATAGTGGTTGTTCTGTGGCAGGCAGTGGGAGGGTGTCTTGAGCTCTCCGGCATAAGACAAGACGCGTTTCTAGAAACAGAAACCTTGAAGCCATTCAGGACGCCTGGGGGCCTCCCAGCACCACTGTTTCCTTTGTGGGATGTGATTTTAAAGTACACAAGCTCTGGCCCTTTTGTTGTTGCTTCTGCGGCTGCTTTTTAAGAGCAGAAATAAAAACTTGAGAAATTCCTGCAGCGTGAAGAAATGTACTTAACGTGAATCACTCCAGCCCTCTGACGGCCATCTGCATTGCCACAGACAGTGTTTTTATTAGCCAGACATTTAATTAGAGGAAGTCTGTGGACCGGCCTCCTCCCCACCACAGGTGGGATTCATAAGGGGGAATTTCTCACAAGCTGAGCTCACATTGGGCTGCCCTTCAACTGTGAACAACGCCGATCTTATTCTCGAGGATGTCTTTGAAGATTCAAAGTAAGTTATGCTTTAAGGGGGGAAATTTAAAAGGCGAGCCTTGTGAAACTAAAGCCCAAGCTGAGCTTCTCCAGTGTCTGGCAAGGTCCACAGAGGGCATCGTGGCCCCACCGTGGATCAGAAACTTGCCTGCTAGCCATGGCATTATTTCGATCTGCTGTGAAGGAGCCCTACAGCAGGGAGGAAACGAACAGCAGCATTAAAATGGCATTTAAATGTAGGTAAAACTTGTTAACGGGTACAAACGCCCTTTGCATATCTGCGATCAAGATTCATGAGCTTTTCTTCATTCAGACGTTGTCCATATTTCGAGACAAAATAGACCCGGGAGAACTCAGCCATTGGCAAGTCGTTGCGAGCTAGGTAGATGCAGCCTTGGATGATGTGGTCTGTAATTTGAGTTTATTTTCTTCTCGCTTGAT